TGGTTCTTGGTCTCCTTCACCATGGAATGTTATCTTCTGGCCATCTTTCATGCCTTTGTCAATATGAACTTCTAGAATCTTTTTCTCTCGAACTATCTTCCTTCCATTGCAACTTTTACATCTATCTTTAGGACTGATCCGCTCTCCATGGCCTTGGCACTCCATGCACACAGACTGAATTTGCTGAACCATTCCAGGTCCTGTCTGATGAATTCTTATTTGCATTCCAGTACCTCGGCAATTGGGGCAGCACTCTACTGCTCCTTTCTTACCACCTCGGCCTTCACATTTGTCATGAATCACATCCTTTTGCAAGGCCAGTTCTCTTGTTGCACCATTATATAAATCTTCTAAGGTTACTGACAGCTGATGTACAACGTTTTTACCTCTTCTTTCTCTCTGCATCCTTCCTCCTCCTCCAAAAAACATATCAAAGATGTCCACCGGGGAGCCAAAACCACCACCTGTTCCACCCTCTTTAATCGCCTGCTCTCCTCCTTTGTCATATAATTCCCTTTTCTTCGCATCAGAGAGAACTTCGTAAGCTTGAGAAATCTGTTTAAACTTCTCACCTTCATTTGGATTCTTATCAGGGTGGCACTTCAAGGCCAGTTTCCTGTAAGCCTTCTTCAACTCTTCCTGGGTAGCATTGGGTTTGACCCCCAGAACATCAGAGTAAGTCACTTCTTTCACCATTTTCTACAGCCGGTGAGCGGGCTGAGGCCGGCGTGGGGGAGCCGGAAGGTGCGCGTAGCTGTGTGCAGCTCGGGCAGCCGCCGCTCCTCAGCTTCTCACCAAGAGCGTTCTGGAAAGTTCCCATTCTTTGTTTTTCTTGATCAACTAAAATTCCTGTATATTTAGCCCTCAGCCCTCTTTTCATCGTCTTTAAGATAACATAAATCACCCAGGTTACTTCTTATCATAAAAGGTTTTCTTGTTCCTCTAGTCTAAACTTACCTAACATTTCCTATGACGTAGTTTACTTCTAAATTGTTGTGGTAAAATTTGAGAAATAGTGTTTTATTCGTTTTATCTGGTATCTAATTATGAATAGTCAACTCTTAAGTTGGTTAAGTTCACATCTGTGTGTCCACAGGGTCAATGGTTATGAATAAAATACATCCATCTTTTTTTATTTTTAAAGAATTATTTTATTGAAATTTATTTATGTATGTATTTATTTATTTTAACCAGAGAGGGACAGAAAGAGAGAGAGAAAGATATGGGGGGAGTGAGAAACCAAGCCACCAGGTCCGGGACTCAAACCACCATTGGCCATGTGGGAGTCCGACACCCTTAACCACCACGCCACCTGCTGGCCCCACATCTATGTTCTTTACAACAATTTCTGGATAAGAGTTTTAGAAGTTTTTAATGATAGCCACTGTTTAAATTTTCCATACAGAAGGTAGCACTTGTAACCCATGTATTTAGGATCTCGGGAACATTTTTTTTCTTCTGTTTTATTTAACTAATTACTCTTTACTCAGATTATTAAAGTGGAAAATCCAAATCTAATTCAGATGTCTCTATTTTCTCATTGTATTTCCTTGACCTGCTCCCTTTCTGTTTTTAATTGTTTCAGGGCACATGCACTCTCCAGAGAGAGACAGAAAGAGAGGGAGAAAGCATTCCTCAGTGGGCATGATCTTGCCACAGTTTCTTCTCCATCCTGTCTGAATTTTGGGCGGGCATGCACATGTGCTTGGCATGTTTTCAAGCTGCCAGGTCCAGGATTTGAATGACAGTCAGCCATGTTGGATCTGGCTCCTTAACCACCCGCTCTGGGACCAGTCCTGCCCTTGCAGTATTATCTATATGACTCCTACGTATATGCTTGGCATCAATCTGTGAGGACTCTGTTGATATACTTTGCTCTTTCCTACCTTGATATATATTTTTAAATTGGGTGGTGAAACTTAGTTTTGCAATTATTTGAAACTCAACAAAAAAATTCTAAGAATAATACAACAAATTCACACAGATTCTTCATCTGGTTTCTCCACTTAACAGAACACTTTTAGTTTAAAATCTACATACTTATTTTTTTCCTGAAACGTTTGAGAATAAGTTATAGACATCATGGCCTTCACCCTAAATATATTAGTTATATATTGTGTCCTAGGACATTCTCTTTCTCATTTCCTTATTTTAAGTATTGGTCAAATACTGTCATCTGTTCAGTGGTCTTTATCCAAACTTTGCCAGTTGTCCAGTAACAACCTTTATAGACCACAGGAAAAAAAATTCTGACCCAGCCTCCTAGTCTAGGGTTACATATTGCGTTCGATGGTCATGTCTTTCTAGTTGCTATTAAGTTAGAACAGTTACCCTAGTGTTTCTTTATTTTTCGCAGCTGGTGTGTTTGAAGAGTGTCCTGCCTCAGCATTGATTCCACAGAGTTTTTATTTGGCTTGATTGCTTTCTTCCCTTTTCCTTCCCATCAGTTCAGTCCATTCCTTAAGGCCCAGTACCTTTATAAAGTAGTCCTGACTACTGGTGGGAAAAGCAATTTCTGTTCTGCCTTATTTCACTAATTGAATTTTTTTAAAGATTTTATTGGGACCAGCAGTTAGCGTAATGGCTATGTCGCTGGACTCCCACGTAGTCGACCGCGGTTTGAGTCCCGGACCCGGTGGCTTAAACTCATGCCGGGCGCGTGTGCGTGCGTGCCCAAGATCCCGAGAGGAGAATGGAGGAGAAGGGATTGCGGCGT